TTTGTAACAACTAAGGCAAAAATGTAATTAATTCAGAAAATCTTTTCAGGACCCCACCTTGACGTTTCGGGACCCCACTTTGGGTCCCGACCCCAACTTTGGGAAACCCTGGTCTAGAGTGTCTGTTTTATTCACTTAAGAGTAGTGATACTTCATCATAGTACTGTATTACTCAAGTAAAAGTAAGATTGAATAACACTACTTCTAAAAGTATATTTTCCCCCTAAACCTTACTTAAGATGTAACTGGAAAAAAAAAATAGGTGCCATGAGCTCCAAGACAAAAACAGTGATGAATTTGACTCTTGTGGATTTGATTCAGAACAGACTTTGTTCTTTGTCATTTTTATGCAATAAAACTCCATATCTGTAGATGGAAAAAACATTACATACTGTATGTCTCCATCCCATATTTATATGACATTACAGGAGTACCGGCACTTTTTTCCCCCAACTTAAAGCACTGAAAAGGGTTATATGTGACCCATCACATCAAAATGAGGATTAAGTCTAAAAGTGGTACATGGAGAAATAGGCAAATATAATGTTTTGATTAAAATGTTAACAAAAATTGCATTTAGTCAAAATACAGTATAACGAATAAAAGCCTCTTCAATGTATCATTTGAATGAACTGTCTGAAATATAATTATAAAACAAAACATTGAAGCACTTTTTTGAGCAGTACCAACAAAAAAAAAAAACATTTTGTGGAAAAACACCTTAATATCTTGAGATTTTCCCTGTGAGTTAGCAAAGTTTTTGTGTATTTTTAGCTGGGAAATCTCAATAATAATGCCTCACATAAGAACTCAATGTTTGTTTTCACTAAAGTCTTGACAACTAAATCAACAAAAACTAAATTTTGTTTTCAATGTGAAAAAAAGTCTCAGCACTGAAATGATGGGAAACATGACAGATTAAAAAAAAATAAAACATGTTTGTCTTTATTATGTCAAGAGAATAAGAAAACGTTACATTTCAGATGTAGCAATGTGTTATCAAATTTAAGTTAAAATGACCAATTTAAATAGGAAGGCCATGGTGTGTGAACACCGTCCACTGCTCCATCACATGTCTGTGGCTGCTGCTCAGCATCTCTGGACCTGAAAAGTGGAGAACAAAAGATGGCAGCACGTATTAGTGGAACAGTAAATGCGACTCCGCTGTGCTGCGGTGCGCGGTTCGCAGCCGTTCGTTTGCGCCCCAATTTATACAGCCACTGCTCAGCAACAGAGGAGGGAGGGTGTGCAGGAAGGGGATAAATAAATCCAGTGATAAATGTGGAAGTCAGAGCAAAAATAATGAATTACGTTTAAGACGAACTCCAAACACAGCTGAAAACATCGATATAAAAGCTTTGATATCTATGGTTGAAACTGTATCACTGTCGTCTTTTTGAAACTTCTGATTTCAAAATAAAACCCACGTGTATCGTGTGCACACATGCTTCATGCTATGTGTGTGCCAATGTAAATTTATCACAGCTAGCTTTCTGTGCAGATTTGCAGATGCAGTCTAAAAAACACGAGGGAGGAAGTAAATGTTGCATGTGGTCTTCAGCTAGTTTTTTTAACCCCATATCAGTGTGTAATTTCCTAATACTTATTCCTTTGTAGGCTGGTTTGAACGCTTGTTTCCCCCCATCTTGACTATTAAAAAAATGCAAAAGATAAAAGACCAAGAAAGGTTGAAGTTAGCCATTTACCCACGAACACCAACCTGCAACTGCAGGTTAAGTTGAGGGCAGCGTACAGCTCAGGGGTGCTGGGGCTTTGAACTTGACCTTGCCCCTCAGTGCATTCAGCAGCAGTGTTTCCAGACTCTGTGGACGACTGAGTGATGGGGAGACAGTCGGATGTGTCCGTGGGCTCCACACTGGAGAAATCTGACAATGAAAAGTTTATTTAGAATCAGCACATTTACACAGGAACTCATTGTGATCAAGACAAAACAAGCCATTTGGTTTTTTTTTTCGCCATACTTGGCAAAATAATTTGTTTCTGACCGAGCTTCACGTGTTTGTGAACATAAACGACATGTTGGAAATTGATAAAAAATTAACTAAACAGAAGTAGTTTGACAATAAGAAAAAAAGTTTACTTTTCAATCTGTTCAGTTAACATTAACTGTGCAATTACAAAACTTAAAATTGTGTTTAGAAGGGAAATTGGCAGCTAAGCCGTAATAGGTGTCAAAATATATTTCAGTGTTCCTGATTTGAATTTCTTTGTAAATTTGTGTTATCTCAAACAAAAGTAACCACTATATGTGCACCAATCACTACCGAAGGTCTACTGCATAATTTGTAATGAATGAACTAAATCAGTCGTCATATATTGCCAACGATAACGAATCATGTTTATGTTCGAACCCTGAGATGCCAGGTTGAAAGAAAAAACAAAAGGGGAAGTTTTTCATCAGTAAGATCTGTAAGTCATTCTGGGTGAGGAAACTCAGCAGTGGAGAGTTAGTCTCTTCTGTCTTGGACCTTCTTCATCCATGCTGTTTAAAGGGCTCCATGACTTTATTTAATAAAACATATATTTTAACTGTAAAATAAAGACTGTAAAAATACTGTAGGATGTTCAGTTTTCATCATTTTTAAACTTTTAGTTTAAAAAATATATTACAAAGACTTCTCTCTGTCAACGCTCTCTGGTTTCATTTAAAAGAGTCGATCATCAGATATTGTCCAAGATAAACCTTCAGGGCGGATATAGCTCACTCACATTGAGGACCTATCCACGTCATCATTTACCCAGAATACTTTGTGTGTAAATAAAATGGCTCCGTCCGTGTTAAAATATATTTTTAAAAATGTACAAAACTAAACAGACTACAGTATTTTTACAGTCTTTATTTTACAGTTAAAATAAATGTTTATCAAATAAAGTCTAATGTTACAACTAAT